ACCACGAACCCGGCCGTCTCCAAGGTTGGTGGGTGATCCGTTCTCCCTCTCCTAGGGATTTCTCCAAAGTTCTCTCCAAGAACTCTCTAACACTCTCAACACACAAGAACAAGAAAATTTTCTCATAATAATCATTCATCCCTTGAAACAATAAGCAAAGGGCTATATATAACCAAGTACAATGGACTCAAGAAATAAAAGACTCAATTGCCCTTTGGGCTTACATATGATAATTCCCATAAGAGGGGTACAAAGGGAAATAATAAAAGACACCTATAAAATAAGAAAATACATGAAATATAAAATACACCAATGACTCCGTAAAATAAAGACTCGATCGTGGCCGTAGGTCGGTGGCCACGCCTTGATTCATGCTCTGATGTCCCCATCATGATGTGCCAGCAAGTTATGTGATGATGGGCTATTACTAACCCGTTCATCTCGTTTCTTGGGTTCTCATAAGTTGGGCATCTCCCTCTTAGACGGTGCACTTGGACACCTCCCAAGCATCATTCATCTTTTAGCCATGCAAAAATGTTTGCTTTGCTTTTAAATCGGTTTAATTCAATCTGAATTTTACTCAATTCAATAAGGTATCATTTGTAGCATTCCTAATTGTTTTAAGAACAATAACTTATCAACAGTTTAATGCCTTTGATAAATCATACATTACCATGTCCGTTTTGCTCAGTTTTTGGTTGATTAACAAATAGCACGCCTAAAGCTTACTAAGTTAACCAGATTTCACAAAGTGTGGAACCTAAAACAAACTATACCAAACCAGAATGAACCGTACTGATTATGGTTAACCTCCCATACATACATTTCAAAAGCACTATTTCATAATCAGCAATTTTACTTAATAACAAAATAGATAAATATGCATTCTAGCTATCTTTTAGGCATTAGCACATTCATTAAACATCTCTTTAGCAAGTCATTAACAATGTTTTCACTTAAAAATATTTAATTGCTTTTACTTTCATCTATGTGTTCTAAATGCTCATACATACAAAGTGCATAAATTTTACCTCGCTAATCAAATTAAAATTATTATATATTGAATAGAACAAGCATGCATGACAACAATTAATTTTATCAGTGTTTACCTATTTTCAAAATGGTATACATACATTGCTTTAATGTAGACCTTCATAGTCATGAAAAAATGGACAGCTTCAAAATGTGGGACACTAAAAATAAAATCGAGAATTAGATATTTTAGATTTGTGGGTTAGCATCCATGACTAGAAGTAAAATATCGTAAACATGCTCTTCCAGATAGAGATGAGGACAAGTGTTAGAATCCTTTCCCAAGAAAAAAAATTATTGAATTTCAAATATTCAAAAAGAATATGGGTTTCTAAGCTATAACAACAAGCTTAGATCCTACCAAACAATTGTGTTTGTGATTTTTTTTCTATTGCCGACTTAACTTTTCATTACTTGTTAAGTCAACAAAATATACAAGTTGGGGAAAAAAGGATACATGTCTATGAGATGCAAGTTTGGAGAGAAAGAGAGAGAGAGAGAGAGAGATTTGTAGATGTCGGTGTCCATTATATGGCTGATTTCTTGCTGTCAGTTTTTCTTACATGGCTGACTTCTAGTGGATTTGCAACGTTCATATTGTAGCTAGTCTTCAGTTGTTGGCTTATTCTCTCGATTTTGGACTGCAGCAAGAACTAATGCTTGTTCTTTTGACTGGGATGGAGTAGAAACTTGCCAAGTGGGCTGCAATCCAATAGTGATGAAAGAAAGAGTTGAAGTTTTAGCCAGATTTTAGTAATACTGAAAATTGTCAGTTTGGGGCTTTTGGTTTATAAATAGTACCCTGAGGCACGTAAAATAAATAATATATGCTTAATACAATTCAATATTCTCTCTCAAACTTCCATGTGGTAATGAATCTAAATTTTTAGACTAAATTGCAAATCTTGATGTTATTTTTAGGGTAACATTCTCTTTACACAATTGTAAGTAACGTCAATCTCTTTTTTTTTACAATCTGACCTTTCTAGTGTAGTGTGAATCCTAATTGCTACACAACTTACATTTGATCTCAAATTTCTTGCAATTTTCAAATTTAGATGTTTTAAAGTATCATTAGAGTGAGTTTTATGTGTTTTCTGATTTGCATCAAAAGAAACTAATTTTTGCCAAAACAACAAGTTAATTGACTACAATTTTTTATCTTTTGTGTGCTTGTTTTTGCATTTCATACTATATTTGACTTAGAAGAATCCTAAACCATAAGATATCCTGCAATAATTTCTCTCTTTCTCTTTATACAAAGAGAAAGAGAGAGAGAGTAATGCAAGATATCTTACTGATGTAAAACAACATGCGGTGAAACAAGAATTGCACTTAAGAAATTAATAGAAGCAATGACTTTTAGCTTGCTACCAAAACTCTTTGTTTACTCAAGTTGAGTTTAAGAATAAGACATTGATAGATTAAGCAATGACAATAAATTACACGTAGAGAGTTGAGGAGCCTCACAAAATAACATCAAAATTTAAATAATGCAAATAGCTAGAAATAACAAAGCCCCAAATTTAATATCTAGATCATTCACCTTGAGGTCCTTCACTCATTTTGAAAGTGGTGGCTAGCGGAGGAGAATCGTAAGTAGACTTAGCGATGCCACTAGTAGACAAGTGATCCCGAGAGGACTCGTCGCCGAGGAAGAAGCCAGATTTGGAGGAGCGGGTGGGCGGCCGTCAATGATCCACTCAGAGTCTGGACATTGTTTGTCGATGACGTGTATGAGGGTCGGTAGGATCCAATCCAAGTAGGCTCCAACGGTATCGTCGTCGGAATCAAATCCCGCGTTGAAGAAAGGCGATTGCCGGATGTCGAGATTACCGTGGGCATCGAACACAAGTCCCCATTCAAATTCGGGGTCGGCCATGCATTCTTGCCTAGGGTTGAAGGAGTACCCGAGAGGGAATAGGAGGTGGCGGGTCTCCGCGTGGACCGGTCTAACAATGTCCTGCAATAATTTCTCTTTCTCTTTATACAAAGAGAAAGAGAGAGATTAATGCAAGATATCTTACGGTTTAGTATTCTTCTTGTTAACAAAACCAAATAAGCAAATCAAATAGTTGGTTATTGCTGCTCCACTGCATCCAACATCTAACATTCCCATTGGGTCATCCACATCCTACGGTTTTATCTACTATAGCTAGATCTGATCCTACTTTATGTATTTCCCTTTCTAATAGTGTTTGTCATCCTTTTCGTGTAGCTAAAAGTAGTATGTTGTCTTTCTCTATTTCTACTACTAGATGTTCTTCTCCTTTCGAGCTTAATGTGTCTGATGTATGGGGACCCTCCCCACTTTCTTCAATCAATAGATTTTGGTATTATGTTTTATTTTTGAATGTGTATACTCGTTTTTCATGGGTTTATCCAATGACAAGCAAATCTAAAACATTCTCTAATTTTTTGTTATTTAAAGCCATGGTCAAAAAAAAATTTGACAAATCTATTAAAACTTTTCGATCTGATGGAGGAGGTGAATACTCATGCAATTCCTTCAAAACATTCTTAGCCTCAGCTAGCATTCTGCAGCAGTTTAGCTGTTCGTATACACCGGAATAAAACGGAATAGTTGAGCGTAAACACAGGCATATTATTGAAACTGCTCGCACTCTTTTACTTCAAGCTCATCTCCCTACTTCCTTCTAGCTAGATGCTATCCTCACCTCCACCTATGTTAAGAACAGGTTACCTTCCTCCACTACAAATTATAGTTCACCCTATGAACTTCTCTACCAACGTACTAAATCCTTGGCTCTCTCACACCGCTTCCCATAAATTTTGAGCAAAATCAACCGCTTGTGTTTCTGAATCTCTTTCTTTCTCCATCTTATTCTCATCTTATACTCTCTCTTTCTCTTTATATATATATATATATATATAAGAGACAGAGAGAGAGAGACAATTTCCTATATTTCATACTAGATTTGAGCAACTCAGTGCTTTCTATAAAGTGAAATAATATGATGACTACCACATCACATGCACAATGCAAAGCAAGGAAAATGTTTGAACCAATTTAGAGTTCCCTTGATGTCCTAAAGAGCTTGGGTGACTATACATTAGAATCACCAAATACCTATGGCTTAGAAAAGAACTCTTAATTTACAAGAACAACAAAAATATTTCTTTCGAGAGACAAATTAAGCAATAAAGAAAATGCTGCTTAAGAATTTTTGTTTCACCTTTATTAGGACTGATATTCATAGTTTTAGACCTAACATGTACGTAATCCTAAGTAGTTTATATATATATATATATATAGATAGGAAAAACTTGAATTATGGAGATCAATCTTAGAGTCTAAAAGTTTTTTGTTTGAGTAAATCTAAAACCAAATACATGGAGTGCAATTTTAGTAGAAATAGATCTAGTGGTGGGATTGTGACATTTGGTGATTAAGTCGTTAAAAAGAATGCACGCCTTAGATATCTCAGATCTATTTTTCAAAGAGATGGTGGAATAGATGGGGATATTATTAGTAGAATTAAAGTTGGATGGTTGAAGTGAATGAATGCATCAGGCCTGTTGTGTGGTACAAAAGTACCACTCAAACTTAAGAAAAAGTTTTATAAAATGATTGTGAGACCTGTAATTCTTCATGGCACATAATTGGCCATTAAAAGGGAAGCATAAAATTAAGTTAAGTGTTGCAGAAATGAGGATACTCATGTGGATGAGTGGCTTTACACTTGGAGACACAATGCAAACTAAGTATACATGTGAAAAGGTTGGAGTAGCTTCAATGGAAAATAAGATTAGAGAGAGTCACCTTTGATGTTTTGGCCACACAAAATGTAGGCCTTCCGATGATTCAGTTAGGAAAGTAGATGTATTAAATCCAACCTATTTTAAGAAAGGTAGATGTAGGCCTAAAAAAGACTTGGTTAGAAAATATTAGAAATAACATTTTTTATGAGATTTAAATGAGAATTTGATCATTAATAGAACACCATGGAGAAAATAATGATTCAAATAGCCGACCCCACGTTGTGGGATAAAGGCTTGATATTGTTGATGTTGTGTATATATATTTATATACTACTACTACTACTATGATAAAAGTGGCTTGTGATTCTTCTCATATTAAATCTTAGCCTTTCATTTGTTTTAATAATTTTGATATTAACCCTACATCATATATCTTTATTATCTTCTAAAACAATTCATTTGATCGGTTTGTGAATTCCATTAATTTTTGTCATATTAATTGTATGTTGCCTATTCCTTATTTGCCCATCAGAACCCATAAAACTATTTCATTCTACATTAAATTTTCCCACCATAACTCATAAAATTGAAATCTTCATCTCCACTATGTTTCAGTTATTTAATATATGTAATGTCTCTAATAAAGAAAATTTCACCTCCTCTCCTCTTAAGTTCCAACTCTCAGAAAAGCCTATTGTCCCCTTTAACTAAGTTAATTCTACTAGATTAATTATATTGTTTAACCTATCCACTAATTGCCATTCAGCTTTGCTCCCAGACATTAAAAAAAACTTTCAAATTCCTTCTCAACATCTCCTCGACTTCTTCCATTAAATATTGTCTAGTTTCTCTCCAAAAGCCTAAAACCCTTTAAATCCCTTCCTCATTCTCTTATTTTGCCTACTTCTCCTTGGCTTCTTTCACCAGAAGCACCTTCATATCTGATGATGGCACGGACATTGGAAATCTCTCTTTGATTTCTTGATTTATGGACAATTTTTTGCTTTCATTGTTATTCTTGCGGGCATCGATTACATGATACATCAGCTATCCTTTTTGTTGATATTTGATCAAGTTTCATGACACCCAATGAGCTCTCTGTCCTCTCTCTTTATTTATCTCTATTACTCTCATTCTTCTCTTTGTACTCCTCTTTTCTAGATGTTTTGAATTAATAACTATGATTTATTTTGATAGTTATTGATAAGAATTATGATTCTAAAATTAAAAACTTTATTTTCTGTAATATGTTTTCAACTATGTTTCTTTCAAAATGTTTTAGCAAACTTATCTATTGTTGTTTTCTTACTTTGCCTTATCAAGGACATATTAGTTTGTAGGCTCCTATGTTTATTTGTTATAATGTAAGAAATATGACTGCTGAAACATTTGAAATCTTGAGTAATAAGCATGTTATTATGGTTAGTCAAGGTAGTTATTAAACTTTACTTGTTTTTAGTTTGTAAAATAAGTTCTTTTTTAAGAAGCAAAAATATAGGAAGCTGCGTTATTAACATATAACTTGAGAAGGAGCATACTCGGCAAAAAGTATGACGAAAATTTATTTTGTGAAGAAAATGCCAAACAGTTTGGCAGTTTCTTCACAAAATTAAAGAATTTACCAAAATGTATGGCGATTTCATGTGAGCATGCCAAACTCTTTGGCGTCTTCCCCTCTCACTGACAGCATTCTTTGGCGATGAGCGAGTTGTGCAGATCGAGGGAGGTGCGAGATCGGGTGGCTGCGCGAAGTTTTTTTTATTTTAATTATTTTTTAACTTTTTAAATTAATCAAACAAATTAATATTAATAAATTAAAAATTAATTTATAAATTATTTACAAAGTAACATGTAAATTAAATCATTTACAAATTAATTCATTTCTAAACCATTTACAAATGCTAATTAATTATGATTAATTTGTAAATTAATTATTAATTAATATGAAAATTATTACATAAATTAATTAATATATGTAATAATTCACTAATTAAATATTAATTACAAATTAATTTGTAAAATAGTTAATAATTAATTAATTTGTAAATGATTTAGAAATTAATTTGTAAATTAATTAATAATTAAATTCTAAATTATTACATAAATTAATTAATTTATGTAAATTAATTATTTTTCAATTTGCATACTACAAAATTTATGAATTTTTACATAAACAAATCAAATAATTTTTTAATTGATATTATAAATAATCATAATGAACAAACAGTAAACAAGTACAGGATCTCAACCCATAGACCAAAATTTGGCTAGTAATCTGATGATATGTATTCTAATTATATCTCTTGATTTTGACATACTGTGTTTACAGTTCATGATGTGGACCATACTAAAAGGAGGCAAAGAGTGCAGGTCTCCTTATGAGTGATAATTTTCCAATTAATCATATTGAATTTTCATAACTAATTAATCAAATATTTATTTAATTTAGAAAATTAATTAATTATATAATATTAATTATGTAACTAACATATTTGATTAATTTATAATATAAACTTAATATATATTTACAAAACTAATTCTCTTGAATAGTTTATGTAATAATTTATAAATTTTGTAATATGTAAATTGAAAAATAATTAATTTACATAATATTAAATTAGTTTACTTATAAATTTAGAAATTAACTATTAATTAATTTACAAATGAATTTCTTAATCATTACAAATTTTAATTATTGTTAATTAACTAAGTATAAATTATTTTACAAGTTAATTTAATATTAATAATTAATTAGTGAATTATTACATAAATTAATGAGTTAACATAAAGTAATTAATTTATGTAAAATTTTCAAATTAATTTACAAATTAATTATTCGTAACTTAATTAATTATTAATTAATTTTACAAGTTAGTTTGTAAATAATTTATAAATTTTTTATTTAATTAATTAATATAAATTTTATTTGATTAATTTAACAAATTAAAAATAATTAAAATTAAAATAATTAACACAGCCACCCAAACTCGCTCCTTCCTCGACTGCACAACTCCCCTCATTGCCAACGAATGCCGCCGATGAGAGGGGAAGACGCCAAAGAGTTTGGCGTACTCATGTAAAATCGCCAAATATTTTGGCAAATTCTTCAGTTTTGTGAAGAAACTGTCAAACTGATTAGTATTTTCTTTACAAAATCAAATTTTACCGACCATTTTGGCGAGTCCGCTCCTTCTCAAATTATAAGTTAATAAAATTCATTCCTCTAATTCTGCTTTGTCGTACTCTCCTTTTTAAAAAAGATCCTTGTAAAATATTTTTATTATCAAAATTTGTGTCAAGCATAATTTTCTTTTAAATTGTTAATGTTTGATAAGTTAAATCTCCATTTTCTTTTTTTTTTCTTTTTTGCTTCACATTATGGACTCAAGCATCCTAATATATTTATATCCCTAAATCATTTTTCAAATTTATGAATATGAAAATATAATAGACAAGATTTTTAATAATGAAAGCACAAGTTCGTTTTTCTGTCACTCTTTCATTAATGATGAGGCTAATTATGATAATGAAGAATGCTACATAAAAAAATCCCTCTCCATAATAATGTCACATTGATTATGCCAGAAAAGACTACCCTCTCCTTGCAGAGAAATTATTAGGTGCAGAGTCCGGATGTATCTCTATGTTCGTACTCTAACAAAATCTTGACATATGGAGTGCACATGTGAATATTCAATTAGATTTATTTTTTACTTTATATATTTAATGTGTTCGCAGAACTTTAAACCAAGCTAGCGCGCCAAAAGCATAGCCAAAGCGCAGTAAAAAACACAACAAAAGAGTAGTCAATGCGCAATTAAAGTGCAACTAAAGCGCAGATAAAGCACAAGTAAAACACACACAAAAAATTGCAACCAAAATGCACTCTACATATCAAATTTTAAGTGGGTATCCGGACGTATCTGTACGTTCGGACTCTACACCTCATAATTTCTCCTCCTTGTAGGGTAACCTTCACATTTTCTAAAAAAATTCCCAGTAATAAATCTCTAGGAATATTGAAAAAAAAAAAGTGCACACAACCCAAATGAGCTATGAATTTCCAATGTTAATTTAACTTTTGACAATGCAAAGTAGCAATAGCTCAACATACCTCCTTGTTCTTCAATTCCGCCAATGAAGCTTCCAGCCGGCAGTGGTAATTTGTATATCCGCAAATCAAGGCGGATCCCCTCGGACCCATTCCATGCTGTTTGGATGCCTATTGCCCATAACATAAACAAAACAAATCAACTTCAATAGAAATGTTAGGCATCAAATGGATTTTTGGAAAGGACCCACCATAGCTGCTGCCGTTCGAACCGCCGGGTGAGTGCTTAACCCTAGGTAATCGTTTCCCGAGAAGAGAAGCATCTTCCCAGCAAGCTTTTCATCCACCTCCCTGTCGTTGCCTCCTTCACGAAATGAAAGGAAGGATTAAGCAAGAGTACTCGATTAAGTGGAAATGTAAAATAGTAAACTGGAGAAGAAGGAAACCGGAGGGTAAAGGGAGATCGCCGAGCCATTGCCGGAAAGTTTCCTCCTCCAGCTCGACTTCCACCGAAGCCCGGTCCCAGTGGCGTGGACCGTCGAATGTCTCAATCTCGACCGAGACGTCGTCGGAGCACGGAAGGTTTATTGGTCGGGTGGAGCGTAGGAGATTCCTCGCGGAGAGAGTAGAGAGCGCCGCGCTGATCCAGCTATCCCAGTTCTCCATTGAAGGTCGAGAGAGCGAGGAAGCCGGAGACGTCGAGGCGGGGAAGCGAAAAACTGGGTAATGTCCTTCATTTCTGCCTCGTGCTTCGCCGTATTCTGGTGCCACGTCAACAGTCTGAAAATGGTTCATATTTTGGTCCCTCAAGATTAGGCATTATTTCCGCCGTTCGTAATTGACTGCTGCGGGGTCACCAAAGTCATATCGCTCTTGTAACGGTTCATTGATCCATGCTCGCTCCATATCTCATCCCTTGATGGAAAAATTATTAAAATACGTCGTCACGTGCACTTATTCTTTACCGTGCGGCCTGAGCACCCGACTCGGACCATATCTTGGATTACTATGTTCGCGTATTGCTCGGTATTTGCTCGGTATTGCTAGGTATTACTCGGTATTGCTTGGCAATAACGAGAAATACCGCTATGTGAAGACCAATACCGAGCAATACCGAGCAATACTGAGTAATACATAAAAGAACTCGGTATTGCTCAGTATTGAACTCGGTATTGCTCGGTATTGGTCTTCACATAATAGTATTTTTCATTTTTGTCGAGTAAAATCGAACAATACTTGCAATACCGAGCTACGCAAACTCCTGGGTCCATTCTGGGTCGGATCGTCGGGCCGCGCGGTAAAGAGTAAGTGCACGTGGCGACATATTATAGACTACCTGATGTAGCTCTACGTCAGGTAGCTTGACGGAATAATTTTTCGTTGGTGAGGGCAAATTATTAGGTCCGTTTATCGGATCTAGAAATAGGTCCGGACATCCACTAAAAATTTGACGCGTTGAATGTACACGTGTCCGTGGAATTTTATGTCAAGCACGTCGAAAGCGTGGTCAAAGCGCACAGTCAAAAAGATCTACACGTGGCAACTTTTTAGTGGATGTCCAGACCTATTTCTAGGTCCGATGACATGACCTAATAATTTGCCGTTGGTGAGGCTGCTCTTCATGCTTCTCTTTTTTTTTTCTCCTTCTTTACATGGATCTTGCGATTTTCCTCCATTGAAGTTCTCTTCTCACAGGGGTCCCTCACTCATGACGGCTTCCTCAGATCCGCAAGATTGGAGCTTTTATTCTGTACGGACACCCGACGGGAGAACCGTCCAGTTAAGCACTTGGTACCTAGGGGTACCAAGTGCGGGTACCGAGCTGGGTTCCCACCAATGGGATGACGTGGCACATTTTTATTGGTCTCTGGACACCCTCCGCACTCCGCACAGAATAATAAATCGCAAGATTGGGAAGGGCAACCGACTTCTCGTCGTTCCTCTCCTAAAGATTTTTCTGTTTTGTTTGTTCCTCGGAAAGATGTCTTGGCTCTTTTTCTTATGATGATATTCAGTCTGCTTAAAAATTTTGGGGGTTAACTGTGGTTGGTTACTATTTAGATAAAAGGTCTTTCTTTGAGGCAATATGATATGTAATGTTAAAAGCTTGGAAGCTTAAAAGTACGCTTGTGCTTTTTTCTTTAAGCAGAGGATTATTTTTTATGAAATTTTCATTTCTAAAAAATTTTGATCTTGTCTGGACATGGGTATGTGGTTCTTCTTTGGGAAGCATTTTACTATCAAAATTGACCTCCCCTTTTTCATCCTAAGTGAGAGTATTTTGTCTCAATTTCTATTTACATTAAAATTTTGGATCTTTCTTTGGTATGTTGGACTCTTGAGGGAATTTCAAGAATTGCAAGTTTAATTGGTGCTCCCTTTGCTCCAATTACATAAAAAATGATTTTATCCTAGAGAGCCAAGTGAAAATAGGTCAAGCACATGCAAGAAATAAATCTAGGAAAGACATACAATTTCTACTTTGCAATCAATGTAAACACATTAATATAAATCCAGAAAACACAGAGAAGTAAAGTCTAAAGTTCACGACAAGTGTCATATAAATACAACCTAGGGTCTGCAGAAAAGTAATGGTGGTCAGGTTACACCGATAACATCCTGGATTATAATCCTAATGAATGATGCAAGTCTTAAAAGCCAGACATTTCATCTTTAGGTCTCCATCTTCGAGTGGATCGTCCTTCTCGGATCTTCTTCCTTTGGATCATCTCCTTCAGACTCCGTATGGTTCGTCATCTAAGGGGGTATACAAATGAATAAGAAATTCCCTAAGTGGGGCCCTTTCTTTTTCTCTTTGGGTACCTTATATTTGAAATGTCGTGCTTTTGATGACTTTCACAACTCGATATAATTACAAATTACATTATATTATAAAAAGAAAAATCTTGACCCTGGCTGAACCTGCATGGTTATCCTAATAAAAATAGCCCAAGCAATTTATATAACATAATCCAACCAGTTCATAAATGTACAGAAAAGTAAACATGTTTGGCCACGCTATTTTAATTTTAAAGAATGCTGAGTAGTCTCTAGAGCATCTGCATAAAATATTATTAGTATTAAAGCTTTAATGATTACTGTCCCCTTTATATTTTAGCGTTGCATGAGCGTGGCCATCTACATAAGACTGTATTAGTATAAAAGTGACCCATAACCCACAGGTTTCTGGCGACGACGGTGGGAATCATTTCTCTCTTCATCTTTGAATCATATATTATTCTTTATTGTATGTACTCTATTATTGGTACTCGTTAGATTAGGTTCATCCTACTCTTAATTAGGATCATTTTCTTAGTCAGGTTCTCCTCTTAGCTAGGGCTTTCCCTAGCTATGGTTCCTTTCCTTCCAGCCCTCTAGGCCATTTCGTACCTTATCAATTCTCTTCTTTTCATCATGTTTATATATTTGCTCAGCTCTCTCACCCTGAGATCGCCGAGCAGACCTCGTATTTGTATCTCATGAAATGATCCTTTTTTACTTTTCAATAGTCTGTGTGGGCACGACGATTTATCCTCTACCACACGATATTTGTTGCGAAGAGTATAAGGCTATCCTTAAAGGTGATATGCTGATACACCGCATGGATATTTGTGCTTCTATTTATACACACCAATCACATTGGTGCCAGTGCAGAAAACTAATAATTTAAATTCATTTTCTATAGATGATACTGGGTCCATGCCCACTTGCGTTAATCGGGAGTGGTGATGTTGATACATTGTTCTTATATAAATTCCTTTCTACTATCGGTCGTAATATGATGGTTGTTCTCACCCAGTTTCGCTTGTCACCCAAGCATGGTCTGGGATATAAAAATTAATAATTTAAATTCATTTTCTATAGGTGATATTGGGTCCATGCCCACTTACGTTAGTCAAGTGTGGTGATGTTGATCAAATGTCCTATGTGGATCTCTTTCTTCTATCGGTCATGATACGATAGTTATCCTTACCCAATTTCGTTTGTCACCCTAAGCGTGGTCTGGGATACTAAACCCAATAATTCAAATCTATTTTCTATAAGTGATACTAGGTCCATGCCCACCTACGTTAGTCATGTGTGGTGATGTTAATACAATGTCCCTATGTGATTTTTCTTTCTTTTATCAATCATGATACAATAGTTGTCCTTATCCAGTTTTGCTTGTCACCCCAAGCATGACCTGGGATACCAAAATCAATAATTCAAATCCATTTTCTATAAGTGATATTGGGTCCATGCCCACCATTGTTAATTATGTGTGGTGATGTTGATCCAATGTTCCTTTGTGATTTTTCTTCCTTCTATCAATCATGATATGATAGTTATTCTTTCTCAGTTTCGCTTGTCACCCCAAACATAATTTCGGATATCAAAACCAATAATTCAAATACATTTTCTATAAGTGATGTTGGATCCATATCCACCTGCATTAGTTAGGAGTGGTGAAGTTGATCCACTATCCCTATTTGAATTTCTTTCTTCTATCAGTCTTAATATGATATATATGATATATAGTTTTGCTTATCACCTCTAAGTATAATCTAGGATATAAAAACCAATAATTCAAACCTATTCTTTTAGATGAGATATTGGGTCCATGCCCACCTACGTTAGTCAGGTGAGGTGATATTGATCTACTATATCTACGATAATTTCTTCCTCCTATTAATTTTCTTTATAATTATACTCCCCGGTTCGTTTACTCAAGTTGAACGGGGTCTGGGATATCAAAACCCTTCATTCAAACCACTTTTTTTAGACGAGATACTCGATCCATACCTACTCACGTTAGTTGGGAGTGATAGTGTTGATCCACTATCTATATGAAAATTCTATTCTTAAATAAATTTTGTTATGATTATGCCCCCAAATTTCATTCGTATGTTGAATGTGGCCTGGTTATCAAAGCTAATATTTCAATTTATTACAAAATCTTATTTGATTTTTCTCTCCCTAGTTTTGTTCATGTGGCGAACATGGCATGGGTTATCAAAGCCAACCTCATTTTCCTAGACAATTTTTTTCCTTGGAATTCTTACACTTACCTTTACTTTTTCCCTCACATCCCTACATAGAGCTATGTTAAGTTGGTGTTGAGGTGTCTCTTTTCTCTTCACGTCATTACAGGCATATGTGTCGGGTGATTGTGTTGAGTGTTCCTTTCTTTATCCTACTTTTGGCATATGCGCCAGGTATAGACTCTACTGTAGGCACATACACCGGGCAGAGGTAACTCTTTCCTCTTCACATCATTGTAGGTATATGCGACATATGATTATGTTAAGTATTCTTTCTTTATCCTAATTTTGGCATATGTGTTAGGTGGGGACTCTACTGCAGGCACATACACCGGGTAAAGATGACTCTTTTCTTTTCACATCATTGCATGCATATATGCCTGATGATTGTGTTGATTATTCTTTATTTATCCTACTTTTGGCATATGCGCCAGGTGGGGGCTTTGTTGTAGGCACATATATCGGGTAGAGGTAACTCTTTCCACTTCACATCATTGCAGGCATATGCGTCGGGTGATTTTATCAAGTGTTCTTTCTTTATCCTACTTTCAGCATATGTGTCAGGTAGGGACTCTGCTATAGGCACATACATCTGGCAGATGTGACTTTTTCCTCTTCATATCACTGCAGGTATATGTGTCTGGTGATTGTGTTGAGTGTTTTATCTTTATCCTATTACAGGCATATGCGCGGGATAAGAACTATGCTGCAGGCACATACAATGGACAGAGGTGACTCTTTCCACTTCACATCATTGTTGTCCTATATGCTGGGTGATTGTATTAAGTGTTCTTTCTTTATCCTACTTTTGACATAT